CTCAAAAGTGGGCAATGGTGACTTTCCGGGCCTCAAAAGTGGGCAACGGTTACTTTCCGGGCCTCAAAAGTGGGCAACGGTGACTTTCCCGGCCTCAAAAGTGGGCAGCGGTGACTTTCCTGGCCTCAAAAGTGGGCAACGGTGACTTTCGGCCTCAAAAGTGGGCAACGGTGACTTTCCTGGCCTCAAAAGTGGGCAACGGTGACTTTCCGGGCCTCAAAAGTGGGCAACGGTGACTTTCCTGGCCTCAAAAGTGGGCAACGGTGACTTTCGGCTTCAAAAGTGGGCAACGGTGACTTTCGGCCTCAAAAGTGGGCAACGGTGACTTCCCGGGCCTCAAAAGTGGGCAACGGTGACTTTCCGGGCCTCAAAAGTGCGCAATGGTGACTTTCCGGGCCTCAAAAGTGGGCAACGGTGACTTTCCTGGCCTCAAAAGTGGGCAACGGTGACTTTCGGCCTCAAAAGTGGGCAAGGGTGACTTTCGGCCTCAAATTCAAAAGTGGGCAACGGTGACTTTCCGGGCCTCAAAAGTGGGCAACGGTGACTTTCCTGCCTCAAAAGTGGGCAACGGTGAATTTCGGCTTCAAAAGTGGGCAATGGTGAATTTCCTTTTCCCTGAGTTTTTCAAGGTTTTGCAATGTTTTTCAGGATGTTTCAGGGCTTTTAACCCTCAATTCTGATGAAGGGCAGCCCCCGCGACCTTTTCACAGCCTAGTTTTGGTCAAGGGGGGGTTGTAGTTTTTCAATTTTAAAGGCAAAATAGTCTTCGGAGACCCCCCCTTGCCTCAAACTCCGACCCCCCCTTGGGAGGGAAAGTTTGCCTGGAAAAACACCGGCCCGGGTCCCTATTAAAAATGCGATTTTTTAGTACTGAAATCGACGTTCTGGTGGCCTCGTTTTCTGGGTTTTTGACCACGAGCCCTCACCGATAGGGGCTTCTAATCCGTAGGGTTTAGGGCCCTAAGCATAAAGGGCCTGTTGTGGGCCTTAGATTAGATTTCGGGTTTTAGGTCCGTTAAAAACTAACTACTGGGAATGTATTGAGTGAACTTTGTATTTTCTCAATGTTATGGGTTTCTTGGGTTAGTGGTTTTTTTCCAACGCTTGACAAGCTGCTTGACTAGTGAATGCTCGGACTTGAGATGCTGAACCCTAAACCCTAAACCCTAAACCCTAAACCCTAAACCCTAAACCCTAAACCCCAGGAAGGCTTGAGGTATTGAGGTGCCGGACTGGGGAGTTGGAGGGGATGAAGGTGCTTGAGCCTCACGAGCAGGGAAGACCGCACGAACCTTCAAGCTCGGAATTAGGGTTTGGGGTTTGGGGTTTGGGGTTTAGGGTTTAGGGTTTAGGGTTTAGGGTTTAGGGTTTAGGGTTTAGGGTTTAAGTTTAGGATTAGCGGCTTGGGGTTTAGACTTGTGCTCGGGACGAATTCAGACCGGGATCCAGAGGTTCAGGCATGGGGGGCACAAATACCCCCCCTAAAGCCCGAATCCCTCCCCCCTAAACCCACTACTCCCCCCCCCCCCCTCTGCAGGTACCTGCAACACGGCACCTTCGATGCCAAGGAGGGCGAGTACGAGTTCATCTGGAGACCTGACTCTCAGGCTCCTCTGGTGCGTTATGGGGCTCTTGCGGGAGGGGAGGGGGTTCTGAGTGGGAAAAGCACCCCGCAATAAGCCCAATATCCCTTAAGTCACACTAAGGATCCCTTTGTAGTGTAAGGTATATTCCTTGATTAAGGGGTTTTGTGCTCTCTGGGCCTTCAAACTTGAACGCGCAGGTGAGCCGCAAGGCGTTCGCGGCAGCACACTCGGCATGGTCAGGCTTTGGGGTCGTAGTTCGGGTTTATGGGGCTTCGGGTTTACTTGGGACTCTATGTAGCTACAGATTTAGTAGGTAGGTAAACAGGGTCGTAGGTAGGGCTTATAGGGTCATGCCATGACTCAGAAGGTTGGTTGGGGGCTGATCTCTCGGCTGACGCCACCAATGTTTCGTCCCGGCTTCAGGCCCATGCAAAATCCTATCACCTATCACCCCGAACGCTTGGGTGGTTAGCACTATTTGGGATCTTTATTGGGGTCACCCATGTTCGTAAACCCCCAAATAAGTGCCCGACATAAGTTTAGAGTCAAGTATAGCTAACCTCCAAGTAGAGGGGTCTTCATGGAGGGCCTTTTGTAAAAAAGGCCACTACAGATCGAGACCCCGAAGCCCTGGAACCCAAAGCTCATACTTTATAGGGTACCCCTTCCAGAAAAGGGACCATCATACACTTAAACCCTGAATCCCTAAACCCTACTTGCAAAAACCCTGAAGCCCTAAAACCCGACAGCCCTATCTAAGCTCTAAACAACTAAGGTCTGAGCTCCGGCAGCGCTTCGGGAGGCGCTACCCCCGCCCACAGCTGTGCAGGCTTCGCGGCTCATAGGCTTAGGGTTTCAAGGGACTAAAGGAGGGACCCTTAATTATAGGGTATAGGGGAATAAGACTGGGGTCCCTCTTCATACCCCTTAAAGGGTAGTGAAGGAGGGGCCCTTATAGGGTATAGGGGAATAAGATGAAGGGTCCCTTCGGGGGTCCCTCCTCATACCCCTTAAAGGGTAGGTTTTAGGGGCTTTCGGGTTCGAGGGCTTTCGGGGCTTTCGGGGGGTTTATAGGATTTGGGGGTTCAGGAGGTTTGGGGGTTGGGCATTCCCTCAAAGCCCGGATGAACGAGGGTTTAGGCGATGAGGTGTTTGGGGCTCAGGGTTTAAGGATTTAGGGATTTAAACTTTAGGGTTCAGCTGTGGGGCCAAGGTATGGGCCTTGTAGGACTTAAGGGGTTTAGAGGCATCTTGAAATTTGATTGGCCTGCAGAAAAGGGTGCACAAACCATCTACTGCAGCCGGCTCCTTGACTCACAAAGGCCAGACCCTTAAAGTGCTCCTCAACCCCCCAGTGTTTAGGGTTTTGGGTTTTGGGTTTTAGGGTTTAGGGTTTAGGGTTTAGGGTTTAGGGTTTTGTGCGAAACCTTGCCCGCAGCCCATCTGCCCACACCAAGGGCACGGTCAGGTCTTGTACCGGGGCTTCTTGAGGCTCCCTAAGCTTCCCTACCCTAAACCCTGAACCCTGAAGCTAGACCCTAAACCCTAAACCCTAAACCCTAAACCCTAAACCCTAAACCCTAAACCCTAAACCCTAAACCCTAAACCCTAAACCCTAAACCCCCCCTCCCTTGAGGATCGTATAGTGAAGCGTCAGCCGGCAGCCGTAGACGCATGGCTTGTGATCCCCCCCTGAAAGGCTGGGAGTCGCCATGCTTCGAGCTTGGGTTTAGGGTTTAAGGGTTTAGGATTTAGGGTTTAGGGTTTAGGGTTTAGGGCTTAGGGTTTAGGGTTTAGGGTTTCGGGTTTAGGGTTTAGGGTTGAGGGTTGTCGGTTCAGGGTTGTCGGTTCAGGGTTTAGGGTGTAGGGTTTGGGGTTTAGGGTTTGGGGTTTAGGGCTTCAAGGGACTCAGTTGCTTGTGGACCAAACTGAAGCCTAAAAGGGGTTTACGGTTTAAGGTTTAGGGTTTAGGGTTTAGATTTCATATACCTGGGGTTTAGGGCTTCAAGGGACTCAGTTGCTTGTGGACCAAACTGAAGCCTAAAAGGGGTTTACGGTTTAAGGTTTAGGGTTTAGGGTTTAGAATTCATATACCTTCATAGTGGTTATCGTAGTATAGGGTAGAACGACCCCAATGTTTCAGGTTCATTTAGTCCCCAAGAAACTGCAAAGAGGGCTCAGAGCATCGATTCCCACGCTCAACCCGAAATCTGGTTCTGAAGCCGATGTGGGGTTTGGGGTTTAGGGTTTAGGGTTTAGGGTTCAACAGCTGTGCACACTTTTTCAGTTGTAGCCACGAGTGCTAGGACTTGCTAGGACTTGAGAGTCTGCTACTTCCGGCCAGGACTTCATAGCCCGGATGCAAAAAGGGTTTAGGGTTTAGGGGTTAGAGTTTACGAACATAGGGGAACCCGAACATGGATACCCAAAGAGTAGGATTCCCCTAAGAAGGCACTCCTGATTTCGGAAACCACCATTTCCCAAACACTTGGAAGACCCTGGCAAGACCCTAATCCCTAAACCCTCATCCCTAAACCCTAAACCCTAAACCCTAACAGGGAGCACAGCCACAGCCTGACAGATCCAGAAGGCATGGTACAAAAGGGTTCTGGAGTTGAGGGATTAGGGTTTAGGGTTTAGGTTTGGTTTATAGGGTTTGTAGGGTGCATAGGGTTTGTAGGGCTTATAGGCTTCAAAGGGTTTAGGGCCTAGGGTTGTAGCAAATATGTCAGAGGTTCTGAGGGATGTCGCCAGCTTGCACCTCGTTTGCTCAAGGCCAAGGTTCTATGCGTTAGCCCCCAGGAGTATTTAAGGAAGAGACCTCAACTCAGAATCACAACCTTAGGTATATATACTTAGCCTTACACACCTTTAAACCCCAGTCCCTAAACTCTTATATAAGGAATGCCCTCAACTCACAAAAAGGGCTCCAACAGAGTTTGAGGTGGATTCCTTCATTTCTGGGTCTCCTCTGAGATGTCTCTGACTTCGGACCCAGGAGGTATCGATCTAGGATTTCGGGTTGATGGTTTAGGGTTGAGGGTTTAGGGTTTAGGGTTGGCTTGGCTTGGCTGTGGTTTGCGAAGTGGCTTCCTTAGCTGTGGGAAGACCAGACTACTCCTAGTCCTCCCTAGGGCATTGGGCATTATGGATCCTAAATCCTAAACCCGTTTGGGTTCAGGGTTTGCAGGGTTTAAGATTTCAGGGTTTCGGCTTGAGGGCTCATTGAAATCCCCCAAGGCCCAGAAGAAGAACAGCTTCGCAAGTAATATAGGGGTCGAAAGAGTTGCTACTAGTATGCCCCTATGGTCCCTTTGCAATTCTTCTATAACAACCAAAACCCTGTTCTACTCATTAAGGCCCCTAAACCCTAAACCCTAAACCCTATTCCACTTTTTTTAAAGACTTCGGACAATGACCAAGCCGGTTGCTTCGGGCGCCATGTCCCCGAGCCGGCGCTTACGCTGGCATGCTGGCAAGTACCATCGCCCCTTGGAACTAAATGGGTTCAGGGTTTAGGGTTTAGGGTTTAGGGTTTAGGGTTTAGGGTTCAGGGTTTAGGGTTTAGGGGTTTCAGAAATAGGAAGAATTTGGGAGTTTACGATATTGGAGGGTTTAGGGTTCAGGGTTTCCGATGTTAGGGGTAGCCTAATTGGGGTCCTTGTTATAAGGGGATCCTACTATTTGGGGATCTATATTTGGGGTCCCCTGTTTTCGGAAACCCTCAAGCGTGCGTTAAAGTAGCTATAGCCCCATGCGTATTCTGATCCCAGGTAGGGTATGTGGACTTTAAGTAGTGTTCATTTTGTCCCCAAGGCCTGGCCCACAAGTCGACGGTGATCGGCAAGTACGCCGCCAAAGCCGACGTTTTCGGAAAGGCGGACCTGCGCCAACACGCTGCCCATGTGGCGGCCTGGATCGCCTACGGCCCGAAGGGCCGAATTCCAGAGGCCGATGAGCTCAAGCTCCTGACGAAGTTCATGGGGAAACTGGGGGGTGGCCCCCTACCTTCTCGCTTGAGGGAGGTCCTGCCAGACGCGCAGAAGGCGCTCCGGTCCGTCCCCCAGGCATCAGGTCGGGTCGATGAGGGCTGGAAGCGGGCAGAACACGAGCTCCACAGGAGCCTCCTGAAGTTCCGCTGCTGCCGTCGGCCGGCGGAGGAAGCGTGTGTCGCAAGGGCGAGCAAGGAAGCCGCGCAAGACGTAGACGTAGCTGTGGTGTCGGACATGTCGGACAATGACCTGACTGATGCCCAACGCGACCACGCTTTCGACGACACTGACGCCAGCGATGCCGGTGATGACAATGCCACGATGCAAGGAGAGGCTGACACTGCGCCGCCTGCGCACGATCAACATCTGCAGCTCTTCAGGAAGATGAACGAGTGGGGATTCTTGGATGAAGCCCAGCGGCTGGAGCGGCTTCAGCAAGTGGAGGCCATGGCAAAGCGCTCGCGAAGGAGCCTCGACCAGGCAGAGCTTGCTGAGGCCATCAACGTGGTTGTTGCGGCTCTCTCGGCCCCTCGCAGACAGCGGCAGCTTCAAGAAGCTGAACCCGAAGGCTATATACCCCTTGGGAATTATTTTTTGGACATATAAAACCCAAGAGGATAGGAAAAATATTATGTTTATTTAGGTTCTAAGGGGTTTAGAGGAACCGGAAGGACTCGGCGTCAGTAGCAGGTGATGCCAGTGCAAAATTCCGGTGTATCACATATGAATGTTGAGCTGGATCTTTTTTCTTTAACCTTGCAGACTCGTGGGAGGCTTGTCGGTGAAGGAGGGAGGCTTCTTGTGGATTTCAGGCTTTGCAGGTGCTAGCCTTGGGGCTCTGAGTCCTTGCAGCGATCGAGGGTTGGGAGGTTGGACACACACACTTTCTACAGATGCACGTCCCGAAGCCCACAGGAGTTGACGACTCTGAAGTCGAAGACATGCCGCATTGCCCAAAGGGTGATCAGCTTATGGACATACAACGGAGGCTGCGGTCGTTGCTGATTGAAGCATTGCGAACATGGCGGTTGAGGCGGTTCGACTGTCTTGCCATTGAGCATGTCTTGCAGTACGTGCAGGATAAGATCAGCAAATTCGAAGAAAGCGTGGGAGAGATTCAAGGTGCAGCTGCTGGGAAGGCTTGGGCCGAAATCAAGCAGGCAGTGGACCAGCTGTTGCAGAGGGCAGTGGATGGGCATTCCATTCCAGAAGCGCGAGGTAGTAAGAGGGTCTTACTCCGCAGCAAGAACGTGGGCATTGTGAACGGACGACTGGAGCGCCAGAGCGGAGTCCAAGGAATCTCTTGGAGCCCAAACGCTTTGTGGACACTCTCCTGGCAGGAAGCCGGTATCCGGCATCGACAGTGTTTTCCGATCAAAGGTTTCGTGAAACAAGGCCTCGGCGAGGAGGAGGCTGTCGAGGCCGCCCTACGACAGGCCAAGGACTATCGCGAGGAGCTCGTTCGCCAGGGCAAGGCGCAGCCGTCCAGACCGAAGAGAAAAGGTTCCCTGGTGAGGGGTGTCGCATATGAGGAATCCAGTGATTCTTGGAGGGTTCAGCTCTGGGACCCCTACGCTCGGAAGCTGTTTAATGGCGGCCGGTTCGAGAAGCAGGGCGCGGCGGAGGACAAGGCCCGGGAACTGGCCGAGAAGTTTGGCCGGCCAGCTGAGAGGAAGGTCGTGCCGGTGCAGAAGATCTCAGAGCTGCCCCGCTTCGCACCTTTGGGCTCACAGAAAGGCATCATTTGGAGGGTCAAGGAGCAATGTTGGTCTGCTGATGGGAAGTTTCAAGGAGTTCGGCGCACCATGAGATTCCGGCCCAGAGATGGCTCTGAGGCGGAGGTGAAGAAGGCCTGGACTGAGGCGGTGGCGTGGTACCGGGAGCAGGACGATCAGAAAAGTCAGCCGTACTACCAAGCCCGTAGGCTTGCTGCGGTCTAGCCTCAGAAGTTGAAGAAGGAAGTGTGTGTCGAGATCCGAGGCACTCTCTGCGGAAGTGGCTCACCCCCCCACCCCCCTCCCCCAACTCACGCACAGACGCTCTACACGAGCTCAAGATCGCAATAGCCAAGCCACGAACTGCCAACCCTAACTTGAGCCCTTAACCTTAACCCCCCAACACCCGAAAACCGTCTGACAGGGTTTAGGGTTTAGGGTTTGTCCGCAGTCCAGTTGCAACAAAGGGTTTCGGGTTTAGGGTTTATGGAGTAAGGCCCTTAAACATTCCTCACCTGTCACTGTCATGGCTGCATCGGGCAGCGGATGGCCCCCGCCGGGCGGTCGGCGGAGAGGAGGCCGGATGGGTTCGCAGAATCTTCTTGAATATTACTAAACTTATTCTGAGTATTGATGTCAATAAACGTTTTCGAAAAATGTTGATACGTTTCATGTTATTCTATTGCTTTTGTATTACGATATTGCGGCAGTAAATTGGGCCAGGATGTGATACACCCCATGTGTAGAATAATGTTTCATTGGTGTTTTGCAGCGTGCATGACGGTTGTAATGAACTTGCTTGGATATAACATTAAATGTCAGAATGCACAGTAATGTAACATTCTGCAATATGACCGAACATATACATACTTCATGGTTGCAGCCATGCGGAGGAAGGCAAGTAGATGCAGAGATATTTCCTGTGTGTGGGGGCTTTGTTTTTGTCGGCCGGTGTGCTCACACACGGCACACTTGCATGCACGTGGTTTCGTCTGCTTCCTCGTCTTGAGGGTTGATCTCCAAGGTCCTTCTGAAGAATATGAAGGCTTCCTCTGTGTTGAGAACGGAAATATAGGGCAATTTGGGGGAACAACTTTGATCAGCTCCCTCTTCCGTATCCTGAAGCTTTTGCAGGGAGAGTTCGGTGCTGGCAGATGTGAGCTCCGATGGCGAGGTGCAAGCGCACATGGAGTCAGGGTTTAGGGGTTTAGGAGTTTAAGGATTTAGGGGAAACATATTTTGTTTAGGGGTTTAGGAGTTTAGGGATTCGGGGTTTGGGGGTGTTTAGGGTTTAGGAGTTTAGGGGTTTACGGTTTAGGGATTTAAAGGGTTTAGGGTTCCAGACTTCCGAAGTTACAAGTTCCCAAGCCAACCAAGCCGAGCAGCCACGTCGGAGAACCCAAGAAACCTCACCAGACCTGGGAACTTGGGATGTTCCGTTTAGGGTGTAGGGTTTAGGGTTTAGGGTTTAGGGATTAGGGTTCAGGGTTCAGGGTTCAGGGTTCAGGGTTTAAAAGGTTGAGGGTTTAGGGATGTTCCCCCTTATACTAACAGCCCTTAGTAGGGAGTACAGTACCCTATTAGAATCCCTATTCAGGACTGTCAATTAGTATAAGGTGGAACATCCCAACCTGAGAACTTGGCAGAGAATCCTGCGGCCCCGCTCTGAAACTCTGGAGGTCCTTTTACGAACCGTGAAGCCTGAAGCCAAAGTGTGTGCAAGTAATCGGCTTCGCGTGTTGAGTTCCAACGCCCGTTTCAACCTTAACTCCAACATTCTTACACAGGGTACACAGGGCCCTGAACCTACTGTTGTGTAGCTAATGTGGCATTGAAGGTGCTATATATATATATATACCCTTTAAGGGATGTTGTGGGTACCTCATTCCCCCATTCCCTAACCAGCAGTAAGTGAACCCAGCTCGCCGAGGTGCGGGACGTGGTGGAGGGGCTGCTGCCCACCTGGCGACGGGATGCCAAGGCGGTGAGATACACCGCTTCCTGGATAGAATGCACCAAAGTCCCAAATATCGGAAATATCCTTAGACCCTAAGCCCTAAGCATCCCTATGCCCCCCAGACGCAGTCGGTTCTACTGTGCAGAAAAGGGGCATTCGTGAAGAGAGAATGGGCTGTGTCCAGAAGGCTTGATAAAGGTTGAGGGGCTTATAGGGCTCTGTGACCCTGAAACGAGGTGCTCCCATCACCGGTGCCAACAGATTTCTTTACTCAGCATATAATCAGCACACAAGCCTTGCTGTCATATAAACCCCAAGCCCTAAATATGAACCCCAAGCCCTAAACCCTAAACCCTAGAAAACAGATACATAAAAACCTTATAAATCCTAAACCCTAAACCCTTACAAGCAGCGAGCGCGTGCCAAACCCTTGTGCAACCTCTATAAACCCTAAACCCTTATAAACCCTTAACCCTTAACTGTCTTAACTCTTACAACCCTTAACCCGAAGCCCTAAACCCCTGTAAACTACAAGCTTAGCCTCCACAGCTCGGTCGAGGCGGCGACGGCGGCACTACGCCAGGCTGCGCCGGCGTGGGCGGCGGCGGCCCTGCAGTACATGGTCCAAGGCGGGTGGAGTGGGTTTAGGTGCTGAGGGTTTTTAGGTTTCGGGGATTCAGGGTTTAGGATTTAGGGTTTAGGGTTCAGGGCGGGCTGGGCAGAAAGGGCAGCAGTTGAGTCCCTTGTGAAAAAGGGTTCAGGGTTTTAGGGCTTTAGGGTTTCGGGATAAAGAGGGGTATTGAAGGGTGCAGAATCTACTCTTTCTGACTTCTGTGACCAGGCCGCTTGGCCGTAAATGCCTTCCACTGCAGTGCGGCTCTGGCTGCCATGGCCGCTTGGCCTTGTTGCCATGCAGTGCTTACCTGCTTGAAGGCTTAGGGCTCGCAGCCCTTAACCAGCATCGCCATCTTTTGGGGACAAGTTTAGGAATGCTACATGGGTGTACTGTGGTACTCAGTCTACAAGACCTTGCTGCGCAAGTCGCAGGGCATCATGTAGGCCCCTACGAGGGATGAGACTTGGCAGACAGATCCTTGCGAGTTCCAAGCGGGGTTCTCCAACCTCAGTCGAAAAATGGGGGTTGCTGTTGGGGAGCTTAACTTCGGTTGGCAAAATGAGAAACCGTATCCAAGATATAGCCATATAAAAATGATGTAGTATCTGAAGTTCCTCAACAGCAACTCAGACGATGGCACAACTTGCCCGATGGATTCCATGTATCAGCAAGCATCATGGCTACATGCTGTCCCCAATCCCGAAGAGGTCCCGAGCTCGTCTATATAAGGCCCCGGGATGTTAGTTGAGGTCCCCTGGTTGGGTTCATCAGGCTCTTGTCTTCAATACGTTTACAGGGGTTTAGGGTTTGGGGTTTGGGGACAGGCCAACCAAGTATCCGGGGGCCCACGGCTCCAGAAAAGAAACTTTCCTAAGCTCCGACATCTGCCGAGGCGGAAGCCAGTTCTTGGCACCCTGCTGGCACGATATGTGATTTGGGCAATAGCTTGGAAATTTGGGGGTTTAGGGTTTAGGGTTTAGGGTTTAGGGTGTGGAAAAGCTTGGTTGCTGTTGATATGTTGGCATGGCCGGGGCTCAGAATGAGACCTTGATTCACTGCCGAAGTCAGGAGGCGTTTGTAAGTGTACTTTGGCTGAGGTTTAGGGTTTGGGGTTTAGGGTTTAGGGTTTAGGGTTTAGGGTTTAAGGTTTAGGGTTTTTTCCCGTTCACTCTACTGTTCTAAGGTTTCACGCCGTGCAGCTACTTCAGGCGATGAGAGGTCTTGGCGCCTCGACTGCTCAGCATGTGGTTTGGCATTTAGGGTTTAGGGTAATTCCCCCACCTCTCTTCTTTTCAAGTAGCTTGGTGACAGCAGCTTCGGGTTTTAGATTGTGAGCGTACACCTTTTAGCAGCTGAGCAGCGCCTAGTCTCGTATAGAAGACCTTCCGCACTGTTCCCACTGCTTTCAAACTGCAAGCGCTTTTGTGCCACAGCTGTTCTGGCCGGTGAATGGTTCTGGCTTCGGGTGTGGTTTAGCAGCGGAGGTGTGCAGCCGAACGAGATCAACCTCAGCGTCTTCCGGATGCAACGAACAGGGCGGTTACACAGAGACCACCAGACAAACCCTACGAATTGTGCCCCGACACCCTAAACATCCACAACTCCAGGGCCCTAAACCCCCCCCCCCTAATTCAACCTGAACCCTAAACCCTAGCCCTTAGCCCTTTAAACCCTAAACCCCAACCCTAAACCCTCAAACCTAAACCCCAAACCCTAGACCCGAAACCCTCAACCCTAAACCCTCTCCCACACGAAGTGAGGTGGGTCTCAAGGCTTGCCGTGGCGCTGGTCACTGGCCGGCTGCCCTCGCACTGCTGCCCGGAGCGTGTGCTCTACATGCCGAAGCATTGTGCACTGAGATTCGGGTTCAGGGTTCAGGGTTTCGGGTTTAGGGTTTAGGGTGTTCAGGGTTTAGGGTTTAGGGTTAAGTAGAATCTAGGGTTAGGTTGACTCAAGATTGTGCGGCCACTTGATTGTACATTGGAGCTCCCAGAGTCTCCTGAGTGGAGAACTTCCAGAAGAAAGAAGTCAGAGGGGATTCTTGGCATTGCATACGTCTGGGGCTGGTATTAACGCAGGAAATCTACACCCTACACCTGAAACCCTAAACTGCTTAATATAGGGGTCGGAATAATAGCTAATAACCCCCAAAACCCGATTTCCAATGACAAAGACCCTAAACCCTAACCCGAAACCCTCTTTAAGGCCCCTCTATTTCCGTGTTAGTGTTAGGGTTTTAGGGTTTAGTAGCTTCAGGCTTCATGGAGCCGATCACGAGCCGATCTCCACCAACGCGCTGCACTACGGCGTGGCGCTGCCGGTGGCATTGGGGGGTTTAGGATTTAGGGTTTAGGGTTTAGGGTTTAGGCAGCTGGGAACCCGAAACCCTGAACCCTTCTGTTTGTAAGCAGCTGCCTGTGACTAGCCTGACTGGGGGGGGGGGGGGGCCTCAACCCTAAACCCTAAACCCGGGGAAGGGGGGAAACGGCTGAAAGTGGTGAGGCGCTTGGGGCGCTGCGCCATGGGTCGCCATGGCAACCTGGCCAGCGCCTGTTTTCGGGCTTCGGGTGCGGGTGTAAGCTGCATTAGGGTTTAGGGTTTAGGGCTTAGGGATCTTAAGGCGTTTCTGGGACACCTTTTCTCAGCAGGGAA